GTAAATAAATTCCCCCTTGTCAAAGTCACTGCTCAATGGGATTCTACTGCACGCTCGCGACACGGGCGACGACAATACACGGTACTCAACGTTGAGGGCGGGCCCGTCGTACAGGTCAGTCTTACTGGTTCAACGACAGCCGGCGTTGCTGTTGAACGGCACCAAGAATGATCTTTTCCCGATGGGCTAACCTTTGGTCCTCGATCAATAATGACACAACAGCGCCAAGTGATCCAAGGTGCCATGCTATGCGACACAATATTACGACAGCAAGGTGCAACCACCGAGATCGAAGACCAAGCCATCAAGCTCATTTGCGATTTGCTCGCCAACCTCTTAGCTACTCAATGCTCTTTTAACCCACCCACTAGTCCCTTCTTGGGCGGTGGCAGCTTCCCAACACGAACCCTGTTCGTCTCCCCCATGCACTTGCGTCGGTAGCCTAGGTGCCGAGAGAGTGAGAGCTGGATCGGACGGCCTCGGTTTTCCATGCAACCCGGTACACGAAGCCACCGTACCGCGGAAGGACGTAGGTTGGCTGTCGTGAAGGGACAAACGAGGCCGTTCGACCCGGTTGCTTGTAGAAGGTCTCGGGGACGCCAAGGTGTTTCACTGGAAGCACACGCCAGTCAAATGTCGGTCGCTGTCGGTAGCCGGTTAGTCTACTGTACATTGTCGCCTCTTGAACGATTCGAGGTCCGAACTTGGCAAGCCATGGCGGGGCGCTGATTGGGCGCACGGCATGATCGGCAGGCGATATGAGCGGGACGCAACCAAGAAGAGCGGTCGCGGGCAGCTGGATCCAACGGCGGGTGGCTGCAGCACCGTAGAAAGTCCTGGAAGTTGCTCAACCGTGTGTCCAAGCGCTTGGAAGCTGTCTACTTGCGTGTAACCTTGAGTGACGAGCGTCTCGATATGTGATCTTTCGCGAGCCACTTGAGCTTGCCTGACGCAGGACGATGCGCGTTGTGTCAGATCGGAAGACGATGAAGCACGAGCGGAGCTACGCGTAGCGAGCCATGCGTGGTGTAGACGTGCGAGAACCATTCGATGGTCAACGAGGAGAGCCTTGACTGTCGGGTGGTCCTTAAAATACCGTACCGGTAGGAGAAGTTGTTAAAGAACCTTGCCGGCTGTTGCATCGGGTTGTTATCGACAAGCTACTTCAAGGAACAACTTACCGGCTGTTGCTTGCTTGAAGGTCGATACAGTCAAAGCTCCATAAGGGCATACTGTGGTACTTATCAATTCGACAGGATTATTAATTGTGCAGAGGTCGTATTTTTAATGCCGCATATCACACGTTGACAACAAGGATACGGTGGATTGCACGAGCCTCGGGGGGCGGCTCTTTTGAAAATGACGCGTGGTCAGGGACACTGGACCAGGGATTGGTTGCGGCCGTTGGGTGATAGACGTCGAGGATGTGGATCTTCTCTTGGATCTCGATCTTTGATTTTGTACCACGGATCGCAGCGCCCCACGATGGGCCCTTGTTTTTGGACTGCTCGGACTTCTTGCGCTGCATGGTGCAAAATGAGATATGCTCTTATGTCTTCGAGCTATGCTCTTACGTCTTCGAGTTATGCTCTTATGTCGACTGCCAATCCAGAGGCGCCACCTCCGCTGCTTCAAAGAACGCACACGCCAGACCTATTTTATAAAAATATTCTGGTGATATATTAGGCCGAGCGTTTTATCGAGTTTCAGTGGTATGCTCTTAGAGAGCTTTGACTGTAACACCTAAAACATATGTACTACCACGGCGCCATACCACGCAGATGATAATGTCAAAGGTCCTAGGTGCTCGCGAGTAAACCGAGCGAGAAGTGCACGGTTGGACTGGCATGAGACGAGATTCAATCCACCACGTCAAAAGTCGTGTCGAGTTGCTTTATGGATTATTTCCACCGTTAGGAGACATTGCATGCGTGGCGCCTTGGTGAAGCACGTAAAGGGAAGCAGCCAAGGGATTGGCATCGAGTGACACCTGTACAATGCTTTTTGTGCAGCAGCTTTAATTACCCGAACCATCACATGTCTGGTCGTTTCCAGTGGTTTCGATTTTTCACCGAATATAACGCTTCCGGTGTTGCGTCATCAGGGCGATTTTTTTATGGCCCATGACACAACGTCTTTGCACACGCCATGAGCCCACCAAACAACCCAGAACAAATGCTGCGGCGGCGCGCCCAGGTGCGCATCAACCAGCAACGCTACCGTCTCAAGCTGCACGACACCAATACCGCTCGGGTCCGGGACGTGGTTGAGCTCACGCAGGACATTGCGCGCTGCCAAGGCCGCATCGAGATCCTTACGCGCAGCGTTTTGCGCTTGCACGAGCCCGAGGTGGGCGTCGTGCTCGAGTACTTTCGCCTCTTTCGCTCTGGGTACGCGCCGCGCCTGCCCCATCTCCACGAGCAGCAAGTTGCGTTTGTCAACGCCGTCATGGAACCCAACTTGATCTTCCAAGGCGAGGTGCGTGCGCGAGCACAATAGGTAGTTTGCATGCGAAGGACGCGTAGGCTCGTGTGGAGAAGCTATGGGAGCAATGGCGTCTCTCGCATGTTCTCTTTTCTACGTACGAGATGGAGCCGGCGCGCATCGACAGCGTTTCCGTCGAAGCGACAACGGTCCTTCGCGTCTCGACTACAATTCGATTGGGTCTGACGTGGCGCTCCGTGACGGCCCTTTTCCCCCAGGCTGCGGACCATCCCCACCTCGCAAGGCGGCTTGTCGGTCAGGTGCTGCTCCTACCTCTCGTGCACCACTTTCACTTTAACGAATCAAGACGCGTGGTCCAGCTCGACACAATGGCAGCGACACCAATTGCCCTCAGTAACCTCTTGGGCAACCTCGACGACACTGTGACGTGCTAAAGCAGTCGGCTCTTGGAAAACGCCGAGATGAACGTCCATGTAGAGACCGAGTAACAAAG